TGAGGAAAATGGAAGGAAAAAGGAAGAGAGGCCGACCAAGGGCAAGATGGATGGATGGCATCCTTGAAGTGGCTGGCTTGAACTTGAAGGAGCTAGGGGGTGGTGATGGCTGACAGGGAGCTCTGGCGTGGGCTGGTTCGTGAGGTCACGAAGAATCGGAAGCGACTGAACAAATGAACAACAAAACTTATGATAAGGAATGTCTATCCTAGTTGGATCAAAGATGTTACTATAGTATTACATTATGTAGCAAATTTGAAACAAAATCTGTTCCTGCTTTGAAAGTATTATTTCCTGTTTAATTGTGCAGTACTTACTTTGAAAGTAGTTGTTATACTCCAGAAATTTTGTTTTTGTGGCTGCCACAAAATATGTTGAATTAGTTGAGACTCAGTGAGACATTCATTGAAAAATTACAGCAAATGTGATGCAGGATGTCTCACAAAAACATTAGAAACTTTTCCCCATGTTTCTAATGATAGAACCAATTAGGAAATGACATTTGTAACCCAGGAACAAAAAATCGTATTACACATTGTTATCGAATGTTTGTGGCAATAGTCTCCAAGCTCTTTCCTCCATGAAAACTATTCATGTTGTATCAATAACATGTACCCATGGAGAGTCCATGTGCATCACATCTCAGTCAGGACCACATGGGAAGTAGGAAGAGACAAGCAAAAATAAGTTTGTGGTGCAGACATTCTTTCAGAAGAAATAAGCCTACCGGTGCTGTGACATTGGAATGTATTCTATGGAGAGGGTGGGTACCGAAATTCCACTCTGGGAAGTTCTCTTAAATTGTTTAAAGCTTTTAAGCATCTTGTTATGCTTTTTGCTCTATAATATGATGATAAATGTTTGCAGCATGATATGTTGTATGGAGTAATTATCTAAAGGGTAATAACAATCCAGTGAAAGGTTAGGCATGGATGGTTTCTTTGAGCTTCTCACAGCAGAAGCCCATACAAAATGCTTTTTACAGATGTGGTCTCTAAATGGAAATCAAGCCTCTTTTTACCAGCCACATCTGGAAAACACATTGAATGTTAGGCACATCTTAGCAAAATATAGGCAAGAGAGTAATTTTCTGGCCTTAAATGATTTTGTTGTTAGTAATCTGGACTCATGTTTTTTGTCATTCCAGATTTGAACCCAAAGCTAGGGCGTTAAATCCATCTGACGGTTACCATCGTTTATAACTGCATATCAAAGACAAAGACAAGAGCTACTTATAAAACTATGTAGGCAACACCTTGATTCCTTTTACTGATGCATATTAGAATTGTTATCTTAAGCAGAGCTTGGAAACTTTTATTATATCCATTATTCTTAACATAATGACATGAGGAAGCCAGACAAATCATCATCCTATTATTGCTTTGTTATGGATGGCTCTTTAGCATTACATTCATTCTTCTTAACTCTGTTATGTAAGTGAACGGGAAACCAAAAGGGGATGCCAAGAAGTTGATGAGGTAGGTATTGCCATGTTCTGGAAAATCCCAAAGTTTACAGTGGAATTTTTCTTTAAAAAAATTGAGAAGACAAAATCTCCTCACACCAAACAAAACATTTTTTTTAACCATGTCACGAGCAACTTCAGAAACTGAAAGTCACTTCTGGTGTGAGAGAATTGGCTGTCTGCAAGGACGTTGCTCCAGCTCTCAATGCGGGGACATGAGAGAAGCCTCCCATAAGGATGCCCGAATGTTTTGATGTTTTAGCATCCTTATGGGAGGCTTCTCTCATTGAGAGCTGGAGCTGACAGAGGGAGCTCATCCGTGCTCCCCCCGGATTCGAACCTGCGACCTGTCGGCCTTCAGTCCTGCCAGAACAGGGGTTTAACCCATTGCACCACCAGAGGTAAAACAATATAAATAGGTCTAAGCATGATCTACAGCTGAATATCAGCTGAAACAGAAAAATGGAAAAAGGGGGATAGTATGGAGTATTATTGAAGGAAGTGATAGCAGGCTGACTGAAAACCTGAGTTTCTGCTAGGAATTCTGTTAGGAGAGGGGAAAGATGGTGTCCTAAGTTCTTACTTGTTTAAACAATGTTCAATAGACATTAAATTAAGCAGTAAAACAGTATCCAAGTGACAAATAATCACTTCTACAGGTTAATAACAATTAATAAAAAAACTATAAATGAAGTCTCGAAATAACTGGTTGAATTTAACCTGTTACACGTTAAATTAACAATTTACATGCTAATTAATTACCCCTGTTCCTCATCATGGTGTTAAATAATAGCACTTACTTTCAGAGCTCGAAAATAACTAGCTCTGTTTGATTAGTTACCTAACAATTCAATTCCTCTTTGCTCCAATGAGAATGAACAAGAAAACTGGCTGGTCAACAGCACTATTTATTATTGTGATACAACAAATAAGAGATTTTGCATAGTTATATGCGGCAGTTAGTGGTCCTAGGAGGACAGGGATTGGTGGTAACAACAAAATGGTTGAAAAATGGGAAGAGGAGGAATTACATTTGGGGGATCAATCAATTCTTCATGCAAAACAGATCATCTGACACTGATGTCTGCAGGTCACTCTTTCTGAGTGGAAAGGTAGAGGATGTAACTATTAAATAGTGCACAAAATGTTGTGCATATGATCAGTGACAAAAGAACACAATGAAGAACTTCCTATACTTGATTCATGACTTAGCCACTTACGGTTGTTCTGTAACTCTGTCAATATCTTCTAAGTGAAATGAAGACATTGTTGTTATATCACCTTTTGTAATTCAAAGTGTCAATTATTTGAAGGGTGAGTGCATAGCATAGAATCACAGAGTTGGAAGAGACCTAGTGGGCCATCCAGTCCAAGTCCAAGCCCCTGCCAAGAAGCAGGAAAATCGCATTTAAAACACCCCGAAGAGATGGTCATCCAGCCTCTGCTTAAAAGCCTCCAAAGAAGGAGCCTCCACCACACTCCAGGGCAGGGAGCCGTCCACTGCTGAACAGCTCTCAGAGTTAGGAAGTTCTTCCTCATGTTCAGGTGGAATCTCCTTTCCTGTAGTTTGAAGCCATTGTTCTGCATCCTAGTCTCCAGGGTGGCAGAAAACAAGCTTGCTCTCTCCTCCCTATGACTTCCCGTCACATATTTATACATGGCCATCGTGTCTCCTCTCAGTCTTCTCTTCTGCATGTATGTTGTTGTTGGTGGAAAGCAGGGAAGTGTAATTCAGTGACAAAATTGGTGCTTCTATACTGCAGTGACACCATTTTAGTTGCCATGGAATCATGGGAGTTGTAATTTGGTGAGGCAACTTGTGCTCTTTCACAGCATTAAGCCTTGAATGGCAACGCGGTGTCAAATTGCATTAATTCTACTGTGTAGAGGTATCTACACTTTGTGTAAAAATACTTTGTATTTCTAGGTGCAATGATTACTGCAGATGCAGACTGCAGCCAGGAAATCAAGAGATGCTTCCTTCTTGGGAGGAGAGCAATGACCAGTCTTGATGAAATAGTGAAGAGTAGAGACATCACACTGGCAACGAAGATCAGCATAGTAAAAGCAATGGTATTCCCCATAGTCACCTACGGATATGAGAGCTGGACCATAGGGAAGGCTGAGCGAAGGAAGATAGATGCTGAACTGTGGTGCTGGAGAAAAGTTCTGAGAGTGCCTTGGACCACAAGAAGATCCAACCAGTCCATCCTCCAGGAAATAAAGCCCAACTGCTCATTGGAGGGAAGAATAGTAGAGGCAAAGATGAAGTACTTTGGCCACATCATGAGAAGAAAGGAAAGCTTGGAGAAGACAATGATGCTGGGGAAAATGGAAGGAAAAAGGAAGAGGGGCCAACCAAGGGCAAGATGGATGGATGGGATCCTTGAAGTGACTGGATTGACCTTGAAGGAGCTGGGGGTGGTGAAAGCCGACAGGGAGCTCTGGCATGAGCTGGTCAATGAGGTCACAAAGAGTCGGAAATGAATAAACGAATGAACAACAAAAAGAGGCACCAATGGAATTGAATGAGTTACTCAATCCCATGCTTAAGGACATCCCTCCCTGATCTTCCAGATGCACTGCAGCACATATCCCAACATTTCCAACCATTAGATTGTGATAGTTCAACCCCGCCTGGCAAGTGGAAGGCACAGGAAAGCAATTTAAAATTACAAAAACGAGGAGGCAGTAACAAAGTGAATCTCTAGGGGGCAATAATGACAACCAAATATGCCATCTGTCAATCCATTTTTCTTTTCTTTTCTTTTTTCTTTTTAAAAACACATAACTAATTAATAATAACACAAGGAACGTAATCCCATTTCTCCCAACATTAACAGCAAATTGATTTCCAATGTCCAGGTAACAACACTTATGGATTGATTTTTAAGTCCAACATTCCACACTCTACCAATAAGCAAGGAAAAAGTTTTTGTACCAATATACTTCTAGTTACTGTTACTTTATTCTGGTTAAACACCCTATCCTAACTTTAACTGACTCTCTCCGCTGCCTCAGAAATATCCCATCCAAAAGAAGGGACTCTTCACCTCCCTTTGAAATACAGTCTATCAAAACTTAACATTCATTGGAAATCTCCCATTCAAGTATTAACTAGGACTGACCCTGCTTAACTTCCAAGATCAGGCAGGAGCTGGTACTTTTAGCAGAAGAAAAGTTGTGATATCGGAGTCATAGATATTTTATTTTTTATGTTACTTCTGTTTTCAGTTACAATGGTTTGGGCGGAGGGATATCAATTATTACCTAAGTTTGTCTATCCTTAGTCTTTGGTCACTGAATGGATAAGAAAAGTCACAGGCACTTGTAACATCATGGTATGTGTGTTTTACATAACTAATATATCCAGTTGTTTACTTTCTTTTGCATAAGAAAGTGAAGAATTACCTTAAAACTGTTAACCTAGTTAGTTCATTTCTTTTTAAAAGCAACTTTCCATGTTCTCCACAGTGACCAGTTCATGATCTACCGACCTATCTACCTAGTTATTAACTTTTTGGAGGAGACTTACCCATCCAATCACAGCCAAGGACTTCCAATCGCATTCCAATCCCTGCTGGAGACCATCTCTCTGGGTGGACCCTGATGAACTGTGCAGGAACGGGATCAAACCGCCGAACTTCAGGGGTATCATAGTGCATGTTTCCTTCAAAAATCTTGGAGAGAAACAGAAGTTAAACATGAGTCCTCTTGGCTGCTGTCCACCAAAAATAAAGGGTCAGTGCAAAAAGTATTCTGAAAGGGGCCGCAACATTCTGGGACTGCAGATGCTCTTTCAAACTCGTTTAAACTTCTGTATTTTATTGGAGCAACAAGAATTGCCGCAATAGTAAATCAGAACAATCTGGAGAATTCAAGTGGCAACAAAGCAGGGAATGTGAGGATGCTGAAAACTCACTTTCATCTGGTTTTTTTTTTTTACTATCAGTTTTCAAATTAAGCAAAAAGCTTCACATCAGCACAGGCATTTTAAAACAAAAACAAACACCACACGAGTCCATGTTATTTGCTTATCCTGGCTTAGTATTGGTGTCCTCAGAATGACTTGATGAGAAGGCATGACATGAAAACAGATTTTTTTTAATGTCAAAGAGATTAGTAGTTTCTTTTTTTTATGGTATCAGAGATCGGGAAGCAGGACAGTACAAACTGCCCCAAAGCTGGATAGCTTATTAGCAAACACTCCCTAAATTTCAATTGCCCTAGTGTTTGACCAATACACCAAGCTGAATGGGGAAGCTGCAGAATCTCCTTCCCTGAACTGTTTACAGGTCAGTCTTGAAGCTACAAGAGGAAAGGTCCCTTGAAGTGTGCTGGTCTGTAAAACTGGGGGGAAGGCTATGTTACTTTGATTACAATTCAGTTACAACTGTATTGTCGAGGGCTTTCATGGCCAGAATCACTGGGTTGTTGTAGGTTTTTTCAGGCTATATGGCCATGTTCTAGAGGCATTTTCTCCTGATGTTTCGCCTGCATCTATGGCAAGCATCCTTAGAGGTAGTGAGATCTGTTGGAACTAGGAAATTTGGGTTTATATATCTGTGGAAAGTCCAGGGTGGGAGAAAGAACTCTTGTCTGTTGGAGCTAGGTGTGAATGTTTCAACTGACCACCTTGATTAGCATTTGATGGCCTGGCAGTGCCTGGGGAAATCTTTTATTGAGAGGTGATTAGATGTCTGAGGATGCTTGCCATAGATGCAGGCGAAACATCAGAAGAGAACACCTCTGGAACATGGCCATATAGCCCGAAAAAACCTACAACAACTCAGTTACAACTGCCCAACAGGTGATGGTATACTGGTTGTTTCCCTTCAACCTGATACTTTCCAAATTCCTTGGATGGCAATTTGCATCATCTGGTGTGCAGCAGGGGTCCTTTCACACAACCCAGTCATACCACAATTTTAATGGCATTGTTTCTGATATCTGTACTGGCTCCTACAGAGAAAAAAAAAGACCAAGAAGAAAATTTGCACAGAGTTGCTCCCAAAGTGAGTAATCCTGGACTTTTTTTTTAAATTGCTCTGAAAAGAAGCAGTTACATGGCCCAAACATGGCACCAAAATTGGGCCAGGCTGCTTCCCACTTTTGCGTCCTCTCCTCCCCCAAAAGAGTTTCTGACCCATTGAGAGTTTTGCGCAAGAAAAAAGCCCTCTGCTGTCAAGCAGAAAGCAGCCCATGTGACAAAACCACACAGCATGATTTGGCACAAAATATGCATCTTCTTAGCCAGATCCTGATCCCCAGATACAGTGACTCAAATCTGGTATGGCTCTACTGACAACTTGTGTAAACACAGCCAGTTTCTGTCTCTCTGTTTTTAATGGATCTTTTCCCCACTCCCACCTCCTCTTCCAACATGCGCACATGCACACACGCTTCCAGGGGACTCCAAAAGGCATCTCTCTTTGAAGCCATGTATATCAATTCCAGAAATAAGCCACCAAGGATACGAGCTTCTGTTTCTGTAGGAATTAGATCCATAGCCCCTCTGGATTAAGGTTAGTACAGCAATGCAACAATTCAGCTCTCACAAATCCTCAGGAGATATGAACATCACTGAAAAGGAAGAGGAATGACACAGAACCTCAACATCCTTAAACAACATTTCCATATGGGGATGAAAACATTTCCCAGCCTAGAACCTCAGCAAGAGCAGAATGATGCACGAAACGTGTCCTCGGTTGTGAAAAGAATCTGGCTGCTCACCAAGATGATGAAACCTCTTAAAGGAATATTAGTTATTGGGTCCTCTATGTATGTCCATCCTAAACAGTTCAGTTTCACTACAGACTTCTTCTCCCTACAACTCTGAGTGTGAAAAATCGGGTGTCATAGTTTTAAGATGTGAAACAATTTGCATATCCATTTCTTCATCTGTCTGGAAGGGTAAATGTATAGAAAGCATACTGAGCCCTTGAAATTGTTTTTAACCCTGTGCAAGTGATATAATTTCAACTTTTCAAACAAATACATGTCTTTCCCACTGGCTGCCTGAACAAGGCACATTCTTGACCTAGTATCTTAGGAGATGACCTCTTTTTCTCAACCACCTTCTACATCACATAGAGGTCAACGCCAAGTCTTTGTGAAGGTGACAAATCTGTCTCTGGCCTTGAACTAAAAGGGTAATCCCATGGAGTTGTGACAAAAAAAAAAAAAAACAAGGGCAAGTTTTCCTGCTCCCCACTGCCCCAACTGCAGATTCAAAACTGTGGATGAGCCGTAACTCCCATCATTTCCAACCAGTATGTGGTGATGGGAATCACAGTCCAACATGAGTTAGGAACCGGCAAGTGGGAAAGTGAATAGGAATCAGGCACCAGTCACAGACCTCTCCCAGTTTATCCAGTAAGACCCCCATAACCATATAACACATATCCACTTTCACTTACCCCTGCCCAGGGAAAATTGGTCTCTGTAGGCATTTTCTAGGTCCTCCACACAATTCTATGGCATGCTTCCCCCAGAAATTATCACAGAGTTGCATTGGAAGACCTGGTAAATTCTTAGAGAGGAACATTTTCTAGGAATTTAGGTCCTCCAGTATAACTGGACCAGAAGCAGGGTAATTCAAGGACATTTGGTTGTATCCACATATTCAGATAATTGTGGGCAGGAACGCATATCTTGTGGAATAAGGGAGTCTTACTGTAAATAAGTAGTAGGAAATTAGAATTGATAGGATTTCACAATGTGGAATGAATTTACGGATTCTGAGCTGGCGAACGTTGAGCATTAGATTGGTTTTATTGATTGTGATGTAGAATTGATTGTTTTAATTGTTTTATAATTGCGGTTTATATATGTTTTTATCTTATTGTTTGTGTTGGCATTGAATTGTGCCTTTTTGTAAGCCGCCCTGAGTCCCCCCTCGGGGGTTAAGAAGGGTGGGGTAGAAATGCGCGAAATAAATAAATAAATAAATAAATAAATCTAGTGAAGTACTAGTGAACTGTTTATAGTCCTGTATTGTTTTGACTATGTCAGATTAGATGGGGAGGAATCTTTGAGACCCCCAAGTCCTGCTGGGACACCAGTTAGATGATAGTCCAAACAGGACAGGATGCAATTCACTACTACTCAAGGTGAACTGTAGGGATAGTATATGATACTTGAGGAAATACTGTGATTTACACACAGGCTTTGGGCTACTGGCATTCTTAATTTCACAAGTACTGACAACATATGTTTGTATTGATGTTTTGGGCTACTGGCGTTCTTAATTTCACAAGTACTGACAACATACATTTATATTGATGTGTATCCTCTCATGGCAAAACGTCCCCATGAAGAAAAAAACAGAACATCAGGGGAAAATGTCAAAGCATCAGCACACAGCAATTTCATATGTATCCCTGCAGAGGCGCCCTACCTTCGCTTGCATTGTTTTGAGGTCCTGTATGTATTCCCAATCTTTGCCGTTCATGCTGTAGGCGACTTTAAACCTCTTCACGAACGCACGGGCCTCTACCGCGCTGCTGGTGTCCCCACCTCGGGCCCCTTGGATAATTACTCCTTTTACATTCTTGGGGACTCCAAGGTCCACTTGCAGCCACTCCTCCCCGGGTTGTGCTTGTGGGATACGCGGGAACCATCCTGAGCGGCTGCTAACCAGGCGCGCAACACTTGGGACCCAGTGGTACTCTCTGGTAGAGGAAGCCGAGATCTGTGAGTCCGGGATGAGGCCCGAGAGCATCCCCAGCATGTTTGAGCAGGGCGAATCTGTGTGGGAAGTGGCAGTAGGGGGAAAAAGAAATGAGTATAACACAAAAAACAGGTTTATGATGTAAGCAACAGAACAGCACAGGAGGAATAACGTCCCACTGCGACTAACTGCTAGGTACTGAAATGTCAAAACACTTAAGCCAGCTGTGCTTTGCTTTATAACAGCCATCATGGGCGGCAGGGGCCCCTCAGTGGACGCTCAGAACAGCCTCACTATAGCAATCTTTGTCCAAATTGCTCTCCATTTTCAACTAGCTGTACCTTCCCAGCCTCCAAATCTCCCAAGTCTGTAGAAAAACAACACATCCCGTCACAAAGTCTTGGCTGCTACTCCAGTTCTCTTTAAAAAAATAAATACAGTTAAGTCCAGTCAAATGAGAGCTAAACCACAAGTGGCGACCATAATATTAAACAATTCAGACAAGGGCTTGGCTTGTATGGTATTTTTATGTGGCAGTAAAATATCACAGGAGCCACTGCTAATATGAATCTGAGTGTGTATTTGGAGAGGGGCATATGGAGAGAATCCGCCCTGTCACTACTCCAGAAAATCTGGGAAGCGAGTTATGGGCATGGCTCAGGATAGTTTGGAAAAGATTTCAAAACATGGGTTGAGCTAAGAAATGATGAGCTGCAATCTTTGTATCTTAAAATATTCTGAAGTCTTACTGGCATACCAAATGAGGCAATTTATGGTGACCTCAAAACATCACCAACACATATCAAAATCGTGCGTGAGTCAGAGCTTCTGGGTATATGTATGCACATCTTTTGACTCCCTTTCACTTGATAATTCTAGCATCCAAATAATGGTTTTCATGTGTGAAGAAACAATAATTTTGGAAGCTTTTCTTCTATTCTTTGCACAAGCCATTAGTACTGATTACATATCACAACAGACAATACAAGTGGACCTTTGATATCCACTAGGGTTTGGTTCCAGGACCCTCTGTGGATCCCAAAAATCTGTGGATGCTCAAGTTTCATTTCACCCTGCCATTATATGCAGTAGCAGGGTAAAATGGCAAAATCAAGGATTGGTTTTTGGATTTTGGGGTGGGAGAAGCTATTTTCAAGATGCAGATGGTTGAATCTGTGGAAATGGATGGCCAACTGTAAAGCCCAGGGGTCCTCAAACTAAGGCTTGTGGGCCGGATCCAAGGTCATTTACCCGGCCCTTGTTCAGGGTCAACCTAAGTTTGAAATGACTTGAAAGCACACAACAACAACAACAACAACAACAACAATCCTACCTCATCAGCCAAAAATAGGCCCACGCTTCTCATTGAAATACTAATAAGTTTATATTTGTTAAAATTGTTCTTCATTTTAATTATTGTATTGTTTTAAAGTGTCTTTTGCACTACAAATAAGATATGTGCAGAGTGCATAGGAATTCGTTCTTTTATTTTTCCAAATCATAATCCGGCCCTCCAACAGCTTGAAGGACTGTGACCTGGCCATCTGTTTAAAAAGTTTGAGGACCCCTGGTATAGCCAGTTGGATGATCCCTTTTTCCTTCCAAACTGCTAGTAACTACCTGAACCCCATAACCAGAGCACCATAATATGCCATTCTAAAGATCTTTCTTTTTAACCCCCATCATCTCTTCTTTGGATATTTTTTATATATCCGACTATAAGTTATCAAACACTGGAAAACTAAATGACAAACACAAATGTGTGAATGAATGCTGAGTCAAAGAGCAAACATACAGAATATTCTCTTTGCTTCATTTGAGAAAATGGTGGTCTTTGGTACACATGTCACTGTCATTTTCATTGTCTGGTGGTGCCATATTTGAAAATGGGGGGACTTAAGCTTTTATCTGTACTTGCTTTAATTTTTTCAATTGTGTTTCAGTGCTGGGGGAAAAGTAGAATAAATATATAATACTTTTCCACTCTTAGGTCAGGGAGGAGGAGAAGCATAATTCTTTACCTTGAATAAATATACTTTTAGCACTCTCCAGACCACATGTGGAAAAACCATAATTTGGATAATATAGACTAGTATATTTGTGTAGATTTGATATGGAGCAATGGCTTAGAGCTACACACTTAGCAATATGGGCTATATCTAGGCTATCAGAACCTCCATCATCATCATCATCATCATATTTATTTATTTATATCCCACTTTATTATCTCCCCAAAGTGCACTCAAAGTGGCCTTTAATAAGTTAGGGCTCATTTACATGGGTCTAAATACCCCCAAATTGAGCCAGAAGTTACTCCTGGATGTCCACACAACATTCAGGGGACTCCGACCTCTAACACAAGAGAAAACCAGGCAATTTGATTTTACCCCATGTTAGCAGAATTTGGGGGATTCCCCAGAGCTTCCCTGAAATTACAGGGCAGCCCTACATTTCAGGGTTGGTGTGAATATCAGGTCTAGTTCTAACTTGAACTGATCCAGCTGTTTACACAGGCCAATGTCACCATCCAGTTATCCCTGCACTCCACAACACAGGCAAAAGGGGATGGCACTGACTTTTTCCATTGTCTGCCACCACAGCAATGGCCCCAGAGAGGCCCTAGCAAGTGCTGGGTGATTTTGCTGATGTCAGCAAAGGATTGTTTCCTCCTTTTGGCCCTTCAGTCATGGCCAGCTCCTCTCTGGAGCTCCACCATCATGGAGAAGCATCTTGAAATGCATACCTGTGATCCGGCAGCCATAGAGTTCCAGCCGCAGAGCAATCCCACTGTGCCAAATTTGGGGCCGTATTCTGACAAACCTAGTCAACACTGGAGAATGGATTTTGTTCAGGACTACTTCTGAAGCATCTGTGTTAGCCTGGAATACCTGGAACAGAAAGGAGGCAGAGGGAGAACGAGAGTGTGTCAATATAGCCATTACATTTCATGACATGAAAACCTTCATCTCCCAACTTCTTCAGAAGCAGCTCCTGCTAAAGGCTCAGAGTGTCCACAGTAGCTTTGTTTTCCTGGTCAACTGACAACATGAAGGAGTCGTCTCTTGCCCACAGTTTTGTTCTACTCTATTCTGGCAGATATGTAAATTCAGTCTCAGACAAATCAATTAAATAAAAAGAGCTTCTAGTTTTGGATGGACAAGTCCTTGGCATAATTCCCAGGAGTGCAAGATGTTCAAAACACGCCTAAAATCTAGAGCCCACTTGCCTGGAATAGAGCATACAAGCAAAAATTAGCAGTATTAGTTGAACTACTGACTTTACGCATTTGTGCTTTAGTTTCAATATTTACAAAGTGGGCGTAGTAATGATTATTCTCTTCTGTAAACCTTGCCAATGCAGAATCAAATCGCCCTGTTAATAATCGCCGAATTATTGCTGCCGTTGGAACGCTTTGGTTTCTGCCACATAAGTAGCAATCTCTCCAAAGAGAGGCATGCCAGTCATTTCCCTTCCATCCGCATTCACTTTCATACATATGCGCACAGGCGCACGCACACACACACACACTAACATAAAAACATTTTTAACAAGACCTTAATTTGGCGCAACGTATGTTGCAGAATTATTCAAACAAACTCCTGTCTTTCCAGATGGTCATAATCAATAACTACCATATGGACCATCTTCCCTCACCCTCTTCCCTTCGCTACTTTAATAGCTTGGGTAAGTGTCAGCAAATTTTGTTCCAGGCTTTGTCTCCTTGTGGAAGAAGAAACAGACACAAAGAGCGCCTAGAAAGAAAGAAAGCCCCATTTGTACCCTAGGGCATGTGAAAAGTTGCTTTTGAGACATGTGATCTACATGCCAAGGGACTGGACTCCTTGTGACTCTACTATAATCTGCTTTTCCCTTGGTATACTTTGCTCAGTGCAGTGGTCTTCCCTAACTTTGCCTGTGCCTTCCTGTGTATCTTGTTCGATGTTGGATTAAGGAGAGCTGAATCCAACTAGCATTGACGGTAAAGTGGGGAGAAAAGTTAAACCACTTAATCTCAGAGTCTTGGGATTCAAGGCAAGGCATTGTTTGAAGATCCAATGGCATTTCCCTCATATTTCAGGGGAACCAGCATTAAAGGGATAATACAGATGTTTCCTGGATTTGAAACAATTAACTTTTAGTCATCTTGGGGCAGATTCAGTTTGCCAGAGTCCATGTATCACAAGTGCAGTGTCCTCTATATGAACCTACTCTCCGCAAGAATGCACGGGATGGCCATTCCCCAGCATGAGGCGTGGGAAGCGAAGCACGGATGCAAACCATGAAAAATCACAGCATGATAAAAGAATGTTTGTGAGCCTCTGGGCAAAAGGCCATTTGTAGACCATACTAGTCTCATGTGCTCCTCGAAATTTTAAAGAAGAGCTGGTGGGAATGTGTGGCCTTCCTTCTTGGTGCTGCTCAACTCCAGTCAGGGACAGAAGGAGCAAGGGTTCAGGGGTTGCCTTTGAGGACTGTTCGGAAGCTTCAAATGGTCCAGTGGGCAGCAGCCAGGTTGCTGATGGGAGCGGCCCTCAAGGAGCACACAACTCCTCTGTTGCGTCAACTCCACTGGCTGCCAGTTTGCTACTGGGCAGAATTCAAAGTGCTGGCTTTAGCCTATAAAACCCTAAACAGTTCCGACCCAGCTTACCCGTCCATATGTATCTCTACTTATGAACCATCTTGGAGTTTAAGATCATCTGGGGAGGCCCTGCTCTCAATCCCGTCTTCCTCACAAGCACATCTGACAAGGACGAGATACAGGGCCTTCTCAGTGGTGGCCCCTCAGCTGTGGAACTCCTTTCCCAGGGATATTAGATTGGCCCCCTCCCTCCTGACTTTCTGGAAAAAAATAAAAACTTGGCTCTTTGAGAAAGCTTTTGAAAATGCAGCAGAATAGATAAACATGACACTATGAAGTTCATGGAATGTCTAGACCAGTGGTTCTCAACCTGGGGTCCCCAGATGTTTTTGGCCTTCAACTCCCAGAAATCCTAACAGCTGGTAAACTGGCTGGGATTTCTGCGAGTTTAGGCAAAAAGCTCCTGGGGATGGTATCTCCAATGCTTTTGGAAAATTATTTTAACAGGACGACACTGGTGATTGTATGTTTTTATATTATTATGTGGATTGTTTTTAGTTGTAATTTTTATGAATGTACGGCATCGAATTGTTGCCAACTGTAACCCACCTTGAGTTGCCTTAGGGCTGAGAAAGGCGGGCTAGAAATACTGTAAATAAATAATAAGTAAACAAACATCTCTGGCTCCATTAGAAAGGGAGATAATGTCCTCAAGGATGTGTGAAGGACATTCCTTCATTACTGCACATAACCAATGCCAGCCTTTAAAAAACCCAGTTTGCACACACCTAGACTTGACTTTCTTGCATTTTGATCGCCTGCAATACTTTTGTTCTTCCCAATCCATTGTACTATTAATTAACTAAAAGGTTTTTTGGAGGGGAGGGACCATGGCCGTCATGAACAGAAAGTGTTTCCAAAGGGAAAATTTGTGGCTTTCATGCAGTGTATTACTTTCACTTATTTCTGAAGCTGGCACAAAAACACCTGGCACTCACAGTAGTAACAATGATCACAACCCTATGCAGAAATATTGGCAGAGGAAAGGCTGATTTCAGACCTCTCAACTGTGCCTGAACTCTAGCAAATGTCTGAGACTACTTTTGATATTGTTTGTGTAGAAGCGATGCAAAGGAATGATTGCAATAGAGAGAAGATAATAGGCATCCTCTTTGGAGATGAAGGATTCTGAGAGTGATAATCGAAAAACATGAGCCTCTCACAGCTTGGAGAAGATACTCCTGCATGCAAAGGAGAGCACACAATACATCATCAGATTTTTATATGATTTTGCAGCTGGGTTGCAACTGGGAATGTTTCTTCAGCATTTCCATTAGTAGTTTATTATTATTTATTTTTACTAGAATCAGTGAAATTTAAAAGCATACCATTTGTGTGGGGAATGGTCGGCCCTGCGGATATTTTGGTCTAATACTTTTGCATAGTGCATAACACAATTTATTTAGGTTGTTGAAGGGTTTTTTTCTTTTTTTTTGGCTATATGGCCATGTTCTAGAGGCATTCTCTCCTGACGTTTTGCCTGCATCGTTCAGGAGAGAATGCCTCTAGACCATGGTCATATAGCCCGAAAAAACCTACAACAATCCAATGATTCCAGCCATGAAAGCCTTCAACAATGCAATTTATTTATTTACTATATTTGTATACCGCCCTTCTCAGCCCCCAGCTGACTCAGGGAGGTTTACAGAGGCAACGGTTCGATGCCCAAGAACATAATAAAACATTAATACATAGTATAAAACCAAACAAAAGTACTAAAAACATAAGACATTTGCGTCTCCTAATTAGTATTGGACTATGACTCTAGAGACCAGTGTTTGAATCCGTGCTCAGCCATAGAAAGCCACTGGGTCACACTCTCTTTGTCTCAGAAAGTGACAAACGAAAACCCCACTGAACAAATCCTGCCAAGAAAAACATGCTATAGGTTTGGTTTGGGGTGCCATAAATCAGAGATGACTAGAAGACACACAACTTTCACAATGCCTTAATGGGTCTGGGGTCGGGAGGAGCTGTAGGCCAAAAACTCTCAAGGATCAAATCTTCCTTGCCTTCAACTACAAAGAGAGCACATATGTCTTGGAAGTTTAAGTACATCAGTTCCAAGAGATTACATCTACAGCCAAAGAATATATCACACTATGTGTTGTGGTGAGGCTCTTGCCTTTAGGAGAGTGAAGTCAAGTGAACGCATAGCAATGAAAACTTTGCAGGCAAATCTGTGTTGATAATTGGGATTTGGAGCAGATTTAGGGTGGAACAGAAATGCTAATCCAGAGAATATAGATCATGCTGCTACCATTTAGAAACACAGCATGGTTGATGTGTTTTTAATATCCTATTTTATCCCTGCAGAACCCCCTCCCCGTTCCCCGATCTTTTCCCTTGCTCAGCAATCACCAAATACCCTTCTTCCAGCAGGAAGCCTGGAAGTATCAGTGTCTGCTGTGACTGGCCGCCTTGTGCACTGATATCTGAGTATGTGGGCGAGGATATATTTTGACACTGGAGTAAAGCCAAAAGCTTTGTGTCAACCCACAAAGCTGATCTGCAGCATGCCACCTAAGAACCTAAGACCAAGGCAACCCATCTGGTCCTTCTCATTCATATCCTTATTTCAATTTCCTTCCTAATCCGATATTGCTATGTTTTCAACTCCTGCTTCAATCTCTTCTCCAAATTCCTATCTATGTGCCTCTGAAATGTATTTATCTTTTCTCTAACAGGCACCTACTCCTCCAATTTGTTCCATATGGCCATTACTCTGTGTTTCCTTAGTTTGCACACTTGTTTCCTTTCAAAGACTGTGGAAGTTGTAAAGAGGGGTATTGTTTATTTCAAGCAGTGTGCTAATAACTTCAACTCTTGTTTACATGCTGAAATGGGGGAGCAGGTGGGTTATGGCTACACGTCCCCATCATTTTTTTCTCTTCCAAAGCTGATAAACAGCCTTGAGATACGACTCTCATTTCAAAGAGAAGGAAAAAGGTGTTAATAACCTTGCTGGTGCAACACAACTCCAGGCTACATTCATTCATTAGATTCACCATGATTCAGCCAGGTGCCTAATTCCAAACAGATGGGCAAAGCCTAAAGGTTTCTGGCTTCTTCTTTGCCTGACCTTACCTTCAGAAAATTGCAGGATTTAGGTTATGTGTAACTTGCAATAACAATCAGGCAGAGCTATCCTGGACAGATTGTGCCATTTCAAAGGCCAAGGAGCAACTGTTGTTATCCTGGGCTTCACCCTTTCCTGAGCAATAATTGTCTCCCAACCACTGCACG